CTGGGTCAAAGATCCTAGATTAATACCAACTAACCAATAGGTCAGGGGTCCTAAGACCACACTGGAACTAACTTCAGAATCAGCCAAAGTCATGGCTGGCCACTATTACTGCTGACCATGCCTTCATCTATACACCCTGATTCAGAAAGAATTACAATCTAAAGTCTTGTAGAAATTAGATAGCAAGATCTGTAAGCCACTTGGTACCGAGAGGTGACATGCACACAAAATTAATTCAGCTGCTCAGCCAGTGCTTCCCCCACAATATAAAAACAACAGGTATTTCTCCTTTGCATCCTTAGTTATAATACATTCAATTTTATATTTTAGTGATTATTTGAATAATGTCTTCCTCCCCTGCTGAACTCTTTCTTCCCCATTCTCAACGCTTTTCTGATATCACTGTAACTCAGGAATGTCCATTTCTACCTCCTAATTCCAGTCCTATATCCCACCTTCCAGGGTCATTGGTCCCATCTCTTGCTTCCCCAGATCCTTCAGTTTTTTCTCACACTATCTACCCTACTATTCTCATTTGCAGTTCCAAACTTTATTTTCCTTTATCCATGTTATTTTATTTTTCCTCAAAGCTTTCCCCCCCCCAAGAAATTCTATTACTATTTACTATCCATATTACCTTCCTCTGTGTGTGTATGTGTGTGTGTGTGTGTGTGTGTGTGTGGTACTTGTGGTTGAATCCAGGGGTGCTCTACTACTGAGCTATATCCCCAATCTTTTTTCTTTTCTTTTCTTTTTTGAGACAGGATCTCACTAAGCTGACCAGACCAGACTGGCCTTGAACTTGCAATTCTGCCTCTTGAGTAGCTGAGATTACAGGCATGCACCACGATGCCAGGCTATTCCTTATTTTTATTTTTAACCCCCAGTTCCATTTTTTCCAATTATCTCTATTAAGGATAATATATTATTTATTCAATTCATGTACAATGGAATTGTTATGGTTGCCAAATTTTCCATAGGCTAAAATATGGGGATGGGTCACTGAATTAATCTATTTATCCAGATTCTCAAGATATATGAAAGAATATGGTAACTAAGACAACATCAAATTTTAAGCAAAAATCCAATATGTAAAACAAAGAAAAACAGACCTTTTCAGATTCCATTAGAAGAAGGACATTCAGAACTCTGCCTTCTTAGCATTTCCTTTTTCCCAAAGCAGACCCCAAGTCCCCCAGGGGTCAACTCTACACTACACTATTATCTAACTGTTAAACCCTCTGGAGATACAAATGCAGTCTGTGATGAATGAGCATAATTAACATAATATTTTAGATTATTTTCTAAAGGACATGTAAAATAAGCTAGTTAGTATACTGCTTTAAAAAAATATAACTAATCTTTCCAAAGTGCTTTTAAGTATATCACCTTCACCCACAAGGTTTTCTTGTTTGTCTTTTTTTTCCTTTTAATGCATTTTAACTCAAATAGTTTTTATTTATTCTTCCTGTTTTCTTTTTTTAATTTTTATTTTATTTTGCTACTAGGAATAGAAACTACTTCCTCCTTGATAAAAAAAAATTCTAAAAATAATTTCCCACTTTTATCACTTAACCCAAAATCCTATATATGTGAATCTTTTAATCCTTCCTCATATTAATCCTTCAAACACGTTTTCATTCATGTTAAAAGGCTTACTTTGTAAGCACAAAATGGTGACAATACTAAACCAGACTGACTAAAACATATTTCTCTTTGAGTCTCATATTTCTCTGTTCTATCTCTTCTCTAAATCCACATTGCAACTGATCAATACATCTTTTAAACCTGTTTTAATTCAAAGGTTCCTCCTCCTTTTTTATTTTAATCTTACAATTTATTTGTTAAAGAAACCAGGTTTTTTATTCTATAATTTCCAGTAGTTCAGATTTTGTTAACTGCATCCCTCTAGAATAGTTTAACACATTCCTTTCTGTATATATGTTGTAAACTGGTAGTTGGTAGACAGCTTAATCACATTCATGTTTGGTTGTTCTTCCATCGGGGATACTCCAGTGATGTTGTTTTTGTTTGATTCTAGCAGTCTTTGATGTTTAATATTGAGATTCATTAGATTGTTAAGAGTTTGTAATTTGGAGATAATCCAACATTCCTTCTTTATTTATTACTCGGTGGCATACACCTGTAATCCCACACACCTGTAACCCCACTAGCTTGGGACGCTGAGGCAAGAGGATCACAAGTACAAAGCCAGCCTCAGCAAAAACAAGACGCTAAGCAACTCAGTGAGATGAGACCCTGTCTCTAAATAAAATACAAAATAGGGCTGGGGACATAGCTCGGTGGTCAAGCATCCCTGAGTTCAATCCCTGGTACCCCCACCCCCCACCCAAAACTTTTTCCATACAGTTTTAAAATAAGAAGTTGCTTCTCCAAAATTCTCCAATGGTAATCAATGAGTTCCTTTTCATCTCTTTTTATTATAATTATTAACACATGTTAGTTATAAAAATAATGGATTTCATTGTGAAAATTTCATACATATGTATAACCATAGAACATACTATGATTGTATCCACCCTCCCTGTTGCCTTCTCTTACCCTCTCTACCTCCTCCCCAGGTCTCCTTCCCCTTCCCTAATAGTTCCACTTCTACTTTCATATCATCTTTTTTTTTATTATTCTAGATTCCACATGAGAGAAAACATACAATGCTTGTCTTTCTGAGTCTGGTTTATTTCACATAAAATGATGACCTCCAGTTCCATTCATTTTCCTGCAAATGAAATAATTTTGTTCTTCTTCAAGAACAAATACTCCATTGTGTAAATAAATATGCCACAACTTCCTTTATCCATTCATCTGTTGATGAGCACCTAGACTGATTTCATAGCTTGGTTATGATGAACAGTGCTGTAATAAACATAGGTATTCAGGTATCTGTCTTATGGTTGGTTTTGTTTCCTTCAGGTATATACCCAGTAGTGGTAAAGCTAGATCATATGATAGTTCTCATTTTAGTTTTTTAAGAAACTTACATGCTCTTATCGATAGTGGTTTTATTAATTTAGATTCCTACCAACAGTGTGTAAGGGTTCCTTTTGCCCACATCCCCACTAGCATTTGTTATTGTTTTCTTGATAACAGATATTCTGACTGGGTGAGACAGACTCTCAATGTAGTTTTTATTTGCATTTCCTTTATGGCTAGAGATGTTAAGCATTTTTCATGTATTTATAGGCCATTTGTACTCTTGAGAAATGAATTACTGTTCTTTTGGTATGAATATTTTGAATTCTTTATATATTCTGGATATAAATCCTCTGCCTGATGAATAGCTGGCAGATTTTCTTCCCATTGTGCAATCTTTCCCTTCACTGTGCTCACTGCTTCTTTTGCTATGCAGAAGCTTTTTAATTTTATCTCTTAATATAATTATAGATGCATGGATTTAAATATTTCATGTTTTGATTCACTGACATTATTATTCTTATTGATGCTCAATTTGTTTCATCTTTGGTCAGTAGAGGCTCTTCATGTTGATTCCTAAATCTTTTAGAGATCAAATAGTCTGTTATAGCTTCCTTGCTATCTGACATGTTTCAAACTCAAAAATAAATGCTGAATGTTTTCTCTGATATATGAAGGCTGATTCATAGTGGGGTAGGGAGTGGGAGCATGGGAGGAATAGACGAACTCTAGATAGGGCAGAGGGGTGGGAGAGAAATGGAGGGGGCAGGGGGTTAGCAAGGATGGTGAAATGTGATAGACATCACTATCCAAAGTACATGTATGAAGACACGAATCGGTGTCAACATACTTTATACACAACCAGAGATATGAAAAATTGTGCTGTATATGTGTAATAATAATTGTAATGCATTCCACTGTTATTTATTTTTTTAAAAATCAATTAAAAATTTTTTAAAAAGAAAAAAAAAACTCAACTTAAAAATTTCCTGCTCCATGGAGATGTAGTTCAGAGGAAGAGCATGTGTGAGGCCCTAGAGTTGACCCTTAGGGACCACCCCTACCCCCAAAAAAGAAAAACACCTGCTCCAGAGCCAGATTCAGCCATTTCTCAAGGAATCTTCATTCCTTTTATTAAGAAATAGCCTTTGGATTTCACAATCTGGGAGTAACACCTGCCAGTTCACTCATTTATCAAACATTTTCTGGAAAGTTAGTATGTACCAGTCACTGGATTTGGCTTTGAAAATAGAAAGATATAAAACAAACCCAAAGAGCTGACAGATCAGTGGCATATATTCAGACAGAACAGATAACCAGGAAATATATTGCAAGATAAGTATTAAGCTCTAGGCAAAATAATTCATTTGGAATTTATCTGGCCATGTCCACTTTGATCTGAATAGTACTCTTTATAAAGAAATAAAAGAGAGATCTGATTCATAGTGACACGGTTAGAAAGAGTCAGAACTCTATAGTATACCTTGAGTAAGAGAACAGAATTGGGGTGGAGATATAGCTCAGTGTTAAGAGTTCTTGCTTAGGCAAGTGCAAGGCCCTGGGTTCAATTCCCAGCACTACACACACATACACACATGCACGCACACACATACATACATGCACACACATGCACAGAAGAAAGCATGCAAGAGAACAGAACTACATCGATCTCCAAATGCATAAGCATCCCAGCTCAGACATATCCATTCACCAACACTTTACTTCCAACTAGAAATTACTTATAAGGCAAATTATCTATTTTCTTTTTCCTTTTTAGTTTTGCATCTTCCTCATTTTTTACTTAAATTCTTCCCTGTTTCTTTACCTTCTTTCTTACCAACTTTCAAAACACAAGACAGCTTACCCAGGAACCCCACTTACCCCAGTAAGAAAGAGATAAAAACAAAAAACTGTCCTGTGTCAATTTTAAAAGGAAAACTCTTACCAAAAAGTAATCTAACATTCTCTGTTCCAAAAAAACAGGTAAATATTAACCTATTTATTAATGTTCCACATTGTATATGTTATTAAAGTAAAGCATTATAATGGAAAATAATCAAATATCTTACCTTTCAGCACTAAATGCTGATTCTGTGTCTATGTACACAACAGCTCCTTCTAATCCTCCCATACTGGTGGGTAATGTAGCCAAAACACTCATCATTATGCAAAACTGAGTTTTTCCACAGCCTGGTGGCCCTGTAATCTAAACAACAAATATTATTTGTATAAAGCCTATAAGTCAAAGAAAATCATTTTAGGAACTTGCTACAAAAACAATCCAACAACCTGGAAATAATTAACCAGGACAGAATTAACCCCTAATACCCTAGAACATCCATTATATATAATGAATTAACTTCTCCCCTATGCATCCAGATTGGTACTCTATGTAACATCCTTGGAAGAACTGTGAAAATGGTCACTCAAATTATCCTCTGTGTTTTGTAGTTCAGATAAAAAATTTTAACGAGAAAGGTATTTAGGTCATTGGGGCACTGCCTTAGAAGGGATTAATGTTGTTTTCGTGGAGTAAGTAAGTTCTTATAAGAGGAGGTTCTTATTAATCAAGCCTTCCCCATAAACTTTACTCCTGCCGCACAAAGCCATTTCCCTTCCTGCTTCTCCACCCTATTGTGATGCAGCCTGTGGGGTGAGTTTCACCACTGTTAGGGTTTGAATATAAGGTATTGCCCAAAAGCTTATGTAGACAATGCAGGAATGTTCAAAATGTTCAGAAGTGAAATTATTAGATTATGATCTGAGAGCTGTAACTTAATCAGTGGATGAATCAATTTGATTGAGCAATCCTTTGAAAGAACTTCTCACTGGATGGTAACTACAGGCAAGAAGGGTATAGCTGGAGAAGTAGGTCACTGGGGGTTTATATTTTGTCCCTTGCTCCTAGCTCACTTTCTCCTTGCTTCCCAGCTACCATGAGCTGAGAACTTTCCTCCACCATGCCCTTCTACCATGATGTTCTTATCTCACAGGTCCAGAGCAATGGAGTTGGCCAACCATGGACTGAGACCTCTGAAACCATGAGGCAGAATAAATGTTTCCTCCTCTAAATTGTTCTTGTCAGGTATTTTAGTCAGAGGGAGTAAAAGCTAACTGACAAAGCCACAATGAGAGCACCATGCTGTTGGATCTTCTAGCAACCAGAATTCTGAGCCAAATACACCTATACATAAAGAACCCAGCCCTCAGGTATTTTGCTATAACAACACTAAATAGCCTGACAGGTTTTTATAAAAAAAATATAAGCAAAACTGATACTTCCTGAAGTACTCTTTGCACATCTGATATCAACTTCTGGGATGCTACAGATTGCATAAGGATAAAGCAACAGAAAACTTGGAAGACATTTTATAAGAAACATCCACATACCTACCACCTAGACTCTAAAAATACCATTTTTACTATACATGTAATATTCCTCTATCCATTATCAATTCGTCTTAGGTTTTTTTGTTTTTTATGCACTTCAAAGTAAGTCAAAACAATATATTATTCCCCCAAAGTTCAGCATGCACATCATTAAGTAGAATTTAATGTTTAAGATTCTCTTTTTCCTTTTCAGATAAATTTTACAAAGAGTGGGATATAGAAACCTTAATTCTAACATTTGATGAACTTCAATTGCATACACGTATGCAATCTATGATTTGTGTTTGTTTTGTGATGCTGGGGATCAAATTAAGGTCCCTGCATATGCTAAGCAAGCACTCTACCACTGAGCTATACCCTCAGCTCCAGATGTGCAATCTAAATTCTTATCAAGTGAAAATATTACCACCCTAGGAAATTACCTCATATACATTATTTTATATTCAAGAAGTCTTTTTTTTTTTTTTTGAAACTATATCTTTCCTGATAACATCTATACCTCAATAGCACACACAGAGACATGGAAAAAAAAGTGGTTGTTTGTGTATTTTGTTATTGATAAAGAATCTAACTAATATGATGATCTGGGCCATGTTAGAAACATCTGTACTTTAAATATATAGCATTCTCCCACATTGAGTTTAATTCCTGAAACTTCAAATCATCTACAATGACTACTCTATACATTCTGAAGTTATTTGCTTACCAAATAATCCATTTAAGTTGTTGCCATGTTGTTTTCTATATTAATCCTAAACTACTGAAATCAATGTGCCTCTGTCAACCCTTTGTAACCCTCCCTTACAGACAAAACTGATAAATGATAGTCTGACACACAGATGATCAACCCATAGATTGTTAGTTAAAGCAAATTTCACTTGCTAGATTGAAATGCCAACAAAAGTTCTAATATTTTCTTCCCACAACCTAAGAGATCATCTTACATATCCTGCTTTGGAAACTAAAGATATCCAAGAACTTATCATGGACTCTTATTACTAGGAACAACATGGATCAAATTACTCATCAGATATCAGAGCAAGGGAATCTTCTGTCAGTAAAAGTTTAAACTGGATCTTCAAAATAAAGAAATACTTATACTTCAGAGTGAGAACTAATGGAGGAACTGAAAACTGGTCTTTCTACACATACTATCTATGTACTGGGTTTTAGATATGTTCTCAGATTAATGAGCCTGCCAAACCCCTTCTGATTTTTTTTTTAGTGGAAAGTTTAAATAAGCCATCATTTTTACTAGGATAATATATATATAAATGTTCAATGAAGCATCAAGTACCACGAAAATATAAGGTATTAATGTACTATTCTATCTTTAAAGAAAATGTTTTTAATCTGAAAAGTTAAGAACAAGTGGCATTTTCCCTACTTCATTATTTTTATGCATTAATTCAGTATAGTCTTAGAGAAAGTAAAATATCATGTGAATAACATTAAAAGCTCTCTGGGTGTGTTTGGGCTTTATTTTGTGCTTGGATTAGAGCTTGGATAATAACACTTTATAACTAATTTCTAATGCTTTATATTCTCTTCACATATTTTTCCTCTCTTCTAGACTCAAAAAAAAAAGTTTTATGCTATATGCAATCTTATGAGGTGCCTGGAGCAAAATTTCATTATTTTTTCAGGTTTACTTAATAGAGTCAAAGTATCTCAACATTAATATTTTTTTATTTTCAGACAATTTAGCCCTGAATTCTAGCACCCACACCACATCAAGTTGTGTTCACTTCTCAGCTTCAGCCCCAATGGTGGTTAGAAAGAGAAGTCATACCAAACCAGAAAAGTCTAAATTCTGTGCTTCTTGGAAACTCAGTGAACACAACATTCACGTACAGGAAATACCAGTAAAATACAATTAGCTTTATATAGTTAGAGACAAAGTTTCACCACCCTTACATGAGTAATATAAAAGAACTGAAAGAAAATCAGTAGTGTAGACATCTCAAGCATCAGCAAGGAAGAGGAAAAATAATCATCTACAGAAAAGAAAAGTCTAATTGTACTAAGGAATAAATGAAGCCTTCTCATTCTAATCTTTGATTAAATGTGAGATGAACATGAAACCTGGACCCTTAAGGACCTAGAAATCTCACCAAGCTAACTTTATGCACACTCAAGATGGGGACATCTGCCAAGCCTATAGTTGGAGAAAAAAATGTAAGGACTGTCCAGCTGGGATCTGAGATAAGACAGCTTGTGGGAACTATCATGTTTTTAATGACTTCCCTTCCCAGCACCTACTTTTATATTCACTTTATAATTACGTAGAAATATGATTAGATCTTAAGACCTACAGAATTTGTTTTAAAAATAACTTGACTCTAAATCCTCAAACTAAAAGCAAAAGCAAAGAATCTCAGACAGGCCAGGTTGTACTTAGCCTTGTGAAAGAAACCTTGAACATCTCTTTATACCAGCATGTGGAAGAATTTATACCTTAGATTCTCTCCATCAATTCCATCTTATTTAGTATTGATAACTGCTATTTTTTTAAGTAAAGGAGAAAGAGAAGGAGAGAACAGGGCAGGAAAAAAGCAGGAGACATGGAAATGACAAGCCCAAGATACATTTAAGAAAAATTAAATAGTTATCAAAAATCTTGGTATTCAAGTAAATGAAAAAATCGTTCATAAAAGAGCATTTACTGAGTATTTGCCATATGAAAGATCCTAGAGAACATTATAGAGAAGGATGTTTATTTCTAAGTTAGGGAGTGAGTAAAGAATTCAAAATAATACAACCATAAATGCTAATAAATTCCTGTATTAGGACAGAAACCTAGGTATCTTGTTTTCCAAACCTCTGGGCAGGATAAATAAATCATGTCAGCAAATTATATTGAAGGAATGCCCATCTGAAATCTTTCCCTCACTTTCCCATTGCCGTTGCTGCAAGTGAGGCAGACCTAGACCTGACTACAGCTTAAACAAGACCCACCTTCAAAGATCTACAGATCCATTGGTGAGAAAAATAGGTGTTTGCCACAGTTTTCAGCAGATAAAATAGACTAAAGAAGCATTTAAGTCTTATAATTCACTATTTCATGTACATCTGTCACATGCCTGGCCCTTGTAGGCAGTGGAGTTTATAACCCCTGCCTTATTATCTCCTGTGATTATGTAGGCCTCAGATAATCCTGCCAATGTAGAAAAAAAAAAATTCTAAACTATAATATGAATTTGTCCAAAAAAAAATTTCAGTACTGGGCTGAGTTTGTGGCTCAGTGGTAGAGTGTTTGCCTAGCACATTGAGGCCCTGGGTTCCATTCTCAGCACCACATGTAAATAAATAAAATAAAGGTCTATTGACAAATAAATATAATTATATATAATTTTTTTAATTAGGGTACTACACAGAACTCTGGCATCCTACCTCTACCTTTTTTAAGAGAGTAGGAGAATCAATCCCAAAGCAAATCTGTACCATTGAAGGAATGGTTCTGAAACTTAATATGCAGACATACCAAGATTCAGTGAAATTCATATACATCAAAATTGATAATAGAGAATTTAAGTTAAAATCAGAGAAAAGTAACTACAAAAGTAACAGCAGAATGTTTTCAGATATGTTCTTATTCCCTCAATCATTTCCAGACCTAGGTCTTGACCTTTCAACTAGAAACAAAGACCATACAACACAAAAGGACACCTCCATTGATGCTTCTATTAGTACTCTATTGCTCTGTAACAGATTACCACAAATTTATCAGCTTGAAACAACACCCATTTATTATCTCAAAGTTCTGTCAGCCAGAATCCAGAAGGGCTTGACAGAGTTTCTATGCTCAACATCTCA